TCACTCAACTCAATCCAAATTGGACTCAGCCGGTTGCCCTTGAGCCACGTTCAACAGCAACGAGCTCCGTGCAGCTGGCTGCCCGGGCACTGCTGAGGGGCCCAGCGCAAGTCAAGAGCTCTGGCTAATTTTAACGAAGCACGAGCCGTTTGGAGGAATGCAGCCACTCCATCCCCACCCCCAGACTCGAGATTACAGAGAGCGGAGCCGCGGAGGCCATCGGAGCACGCGGCTATCCCGTACCGCCCTGCCCGCGCGCCCAGGCGGCTCCACGCCCGCAGCCCTGCTCTAATCTCCGGACCCCAGACCCCACCACATGCGCAGCTGCAGAGAAGCTATTTCAGGCCATGTGTGGAGCCTGGCTTTGACAACAGCCGACTGCCACTGCCCAGAGCTATTCCAGGAAAGCCCGGAAGCAGAGGGTATAATCTGCGGGGGAAAGGACTGCGTCCCTCTAATTCCACTCCCCCCATGCCCACCCCTCCTTGCTGCATTGTATTTCAGCAAACCCGCAGGCACCCAGGACGTGGGTTATTTTAGTGCAGGATGTGCCACCATGTCCACACTTCGGCATCAGCACCCGGCAACACTCCGTGTCCTGCATGGGGGCAGGTGTTTATGGATATCTTAAGTCTGCCCTGGGTGCAGTCAGGAGCCCTTCGGGGCTTTGCAAGCCCCATCCCATCTGCTCCGACTCCCTTCGGCACCCCTTTGCTCAGCTCTCCACTCCCGAAGGCAGCGCAGGCACCCACGTGCAGACAGCCAGATCCATGACAGCTGTTTTCCTGCCAGAAGAGCATCCTCATGACTGTCAGCTGGCACCCCACCACCGCACATTGACCGCACACACCCCTGTCCCTCCCCCTTATGGGTGTGATGCCACCTGCTCTGCACCAGCCAGGGCTCCGCAACCACTGCGGAAACAAAGTCCAGCACCGGAGCTGCTCTCAGGGAGCCCGGAGCCGCTGCAGGCACAGTGACATGGAAGACAGCTGGTCCCAGCTTGTACTAGGATGTCTTGGGACCAGTCAGAGTAACAGGCACAGACTCGAAACCCCAGCTCTTGGCAGCACCTTGGGCTTTTTGGGACGCTTGGCACCTCGCGTGGGTGAGATAGCGCATCAGCACGTCCTACCCTGCAAACCTCATGCCAAAGCTGACTGGTAGTGCTGTGACACATCAGGCAGGGATGCAGGGTGCTAGAGGCGGCTCTTACCAGGGCATCAGGCGGCCAAAGCGGGTCCATGATGTTTTGGTGATGAAGAAGCCCACCACGGGGTCTGTGATGGCATCCCAGGCTCGCCCCACAAACAGGATGATGGAGGCATAGAAAGGGTCCAGCTGCCGGGAGAAGATCTTGTGTCAGGACGCACAGATCCCCGTGCCCCAACTGCCCTCGGCCTCTCCCCCATGTTCCATGGGATTTGAGGCACAGTGACCCAGTCCCTCCCAGCCCTGCCCCACCACACTCCTTCCACACCAAACTCCTGCCACCTCGGAGTGGAGCTCCCCAAAACCCACTCCACGGCCAGCACAAGGGTCCCCCACGGAAATTTCCCCCTCTCCATTTCACACCGACCCAGAACACTGCAGGTTCGTGGGACAGATCCTGCATCTCGAAGGACGGACACCACGAGCCCTTTTATAGCCTGGGGAAACTGAGGCACGGAGAGGCCGCGCGGCTCCACGCGCGGGGCC